GAAGAGCTAAAGAGCAACAAACAATGATGAACAACACAATAAATGAAATTAAAAATTCTCTAGAAGGAATCAATAGCAGAATACCAGGCAGAAGAACGGATAAGTGACCTGGAAGATAATATAGTGGAAATAACTACTGCAGAGCAGAATAAAGAAAAAAGAATGAAAAGAACTGAGGACAGTCTCAGAAACCTCTGGGACAACATTACATGCACCAACATTGGAATTATAGGGATCCCAGAGGAAGAAGAGAAAAAGACAGGGACTGAGAAAATAATTGAAGAGATTATAGTTGAAAACTTCCCTAATATGGGAAAGGAAATATTCAATCAAGTCCAGGAAGCACAGAGAGCCCCATACAGGATAAATCCAAGGAGAAACACACCAAGACACATATTAATCAAACTATCAAAAATTAAATACAAAGAAGAAATATTAAAAGCAGCAAGGGAAAAACAACAAATAATATACAAGGGAATCCCCATTAGGTTAACAGCTGATCTTTCAGCAGAAACGCTGCAAGCCAGAAGGGTGTGGCAGGACATATTTAAAGTGATGAGAGGGAAAAACCTACAACCAAGATTATTCTAGCCAGCAAGGATCCCATTCAGATTCGACAGAGGAATTAAAAAATTTACAGGCAAGCACAAGCTAAGAGAGTTCAGCATGACCAAACCAGCTTTACAAAAAATGCTAAAAGAACTTCTCTAGGCAGAAAACACAAGAGAAGGAAAAGACCTACAATAACAAACCCAAAACTATTAAGAAAATGGTAATAGGAACATACATATCGATAACTACCTTAAATGTAAATGGAGTAAAGGCTGCAACCAAAAGACATAAGCTGGCTGAATGGATACAAAAACAAGACCCATATATATGCCTTCTACAAGAGACTCACTTCTGACCGAGGGACACATACAGACTGAAGGGTGAGAGGATGGAAAAAGTTATTCCATGAAAATGGAAATCAAAAGAAAGCTGGAGTAGCAATTCTCATATCAGACAAAATAGACTTTAAAATAAAGACTATTGCAAGAGACAAAGAAGGACACTACATAATGATCAAGGGATCAATCAAAGAAGATATAACAATGGTAAATATTTATGTACCCAACTTAGGAGCACCTCAATACATAAGGCAAATGCTAACAGCCATAAAAGGAGAAATCAACAGTAACACAATCATAGTAGGGAACTTTAACACCCCACTTTCACCAATGGACAGATCATCCAAAATGAAAATAAATAAGGAAACACAAGCTTTAAATGATACATTAAACAAGATGAACTTAATTGATATTTATAGGACATTCCATCCAAAAATATCAGAATACACAATCTTCTCAAGTGCTCATGGAACATTCTCCAGGATAGATCATATCTTGGGTCAAAAATCAAGTCTTGCCAAATTTAAGAGAATTGAAATTGTATCAGGTATTTTTTCCAAACACAATGCTACGAGACTAAATATCAATTACAGGAAAAAATTTGTAAAAAATACAAACAGATGGAGTCTAAAAATTACGCTACTAAATAACCAAGAGATGACTGAAGAAATCAAAGAGGAAATCAAAAAATACCTAGAAACAAATGGCAATGAAAACATAACCAAAATCCTATGGGATGCAGCAAAATCAGTTCAAAGAGGGAAGTTTATGGCAATACAATCCTACCTCAAGAAACAAGAAAAATCTCAAATAAACTACCTAACTGTACACCTAGAACAATTAGAAAAAGAAGAAGAAAGAAAAAAAAAAGCCCAAAGCTAGCAGAAGGAAAGAAATCATAAAGATCAGATCAGAAATAAAGTAAAAAGAAATGATGGCAAAGATTAATAAAACTAAAACTGGTTCCTTGAGAAGATAAACAAAATTGATAAACCATTAACCAGACTCATCAAGAAAAAACAGGAGAAGAGTCAATTAATCAGAATTAGAAATGAAAAAGGAGAAGTAACAACTGACACTGCAGAAATACAAAGGACCATGAGAGATTACTACAGACAACTATACGCCAATAAAATGGACAATCTGGAAGAAATGGACACATTCTTAGAAAAGCAGAAACTTCTGAGATTGAATCCAGAAGAAATATAAAATATAAACAGACAAATCACAAGCACTGAAATTGAAACTGTGATTAAAAATCTTCCAACAAACAAAACCCCAGGACCAGATGGCTTCACAGGTGAATTCTATCAAACATTTAGAGAAGAGCTAACATCTATCCTCAAACTCTTCCAAAATACAGCAGAAGGAGGAACTCTCCCAATCTCATTGTAAGAGGCCACTATCACCCTGATACCAAAACCAGACAAAGATGTCACAAAGAAAGAAAACTACAGGCCAAATTCACTGAGGAACATAGATGCAAAAATCCTCAACAAAATACTAGCAAACAGAATCCAACAGCACATTAAAAGGATCATACACCAAGATCAAGTGGGGTTTATCCCAGGAATGCAAGGATTCTTCAATATATGCAAATCAATCAATGTGATGCACCATATTAACAAACTGAAGGATAAAAACCTTATGATCATCTCAGTAGATGCAGAGAAAGCTTTTGACAAAATTCAACAGCCATTTATGATAAAAACCCTCCAGAAAGTAGGGATAGAGGGAACTTACATCAACATATTAAAGGCCCTATATGACAAACCCACAGCCAACATCATTCTCAATGGTAAAAAACTGAAACCATTTCCACTAAGATCAAGAACAAGACAAGGTTGTCCACTCTCACCACTATTATTCAACACAGTTTTGGAAGTTTTAGCCACAGCAATCAGAGAAGAAAAAGAAATAAAAGGAATCCAAATCAGAAAATAAGAAGTACAGCTGTCACTGTTTGCAGATGACATGATACTATACATAGAGAATCCTAAAGATGCTACCAGAAAACTACTAGAGCTAATCAATGAATTTGGTAAAGTAGCAGGATAGAAAATTAATGCACAGAAATCTCTTGCATTCCTATACACTAATGATGCAAAAACTGAAAGAGGAATTAAGGAAACACTCCCATTTACCATTGGAACAAAAGGAATACAGTACCTAAGAATAAACCTATGTAAAGAGACAAAAGACCTGTATGCAGAAAAGTATAAGACACTGATGAAAAAATCAAAGATGATACAAACAGATGGAGAGATATACACCATGTTCTTGGATTGGAAGAATCAACAATGTGAAAATGACTCTACTACTACCCAAAGCAATCTACAGATTCAATACAATCTCTATCAAACTACTAGTGGCATTTTCCACAGAACTAGAACAAAGAATTTCACAATTTGTATGGAAACACCAAAGACCCTGAATAACTAAAGCAATCTTGAGAAAGAAAAATGGAGCTGGAGGAATCAGGCTCTCTGACTTCAGACTATACTGCAAAGTTACAGTAATAAAGACAGCATGGTACCAGCACCAAAACAGAAATATAGATCAATGGAACAGCATAGAAAGCCCAGAGATAAAGCCACGCACATATCGTCACCTAATTTACAACAAAGGAGGCAAGAACATAAAATAGAGAAAAGACAGCCTCTTCAATAAGTGGCACTGGGAAAACTGGACAGCTACGTGTAAAAGAATGAAATTTGAACACTCCGTAACACCATACACAAAAACAAACTCAAAATGGATTAAAGACCTAAATGTAAGGCCAGACACTATAGAACTCTTAGATGAAAACATAGGCAGAACACTCTATGACGTAAATCACAGCAAGATCCTTTTTGACCCACCTCTTAGAGAAATGGAAATAAAAACAAAAATAGACAAATGGGACCTAATGAAATTTAAAAGCTTTTGCTTAGCAAAGGAAAACATAAACAAGACAAAAAGACAACCCTCAGAATGGGAGAAAATATTTGCAAATGAAGCAACTGATAAAGGATTAATCTTCAAAATTTACAAGCAGCTCATGCAGCTCAATATCAAATAAACAAGTAACCCAATCCAAAAATGGGCAGAAGACCTAAACAGACATTTCTCCAAAGAAGATATACAGATTGCCATCAAACACATGCAAGGATGCTCAACATCACTAATCATTAGAGAAATGCAAATCAAAACTACAGTGAGGTATCACCTCACACCAGTCAGAATGGCCATCATCAAAAAATCTAGAAACAACAAATGCTGGAGAGGGTGTGGAGAAAAGGGAACCCTCATACACTGTTGGTGGGAATGTATTTGATACAGCCACTATGGAGAACAGTATGGAGGTTCCTTAAAAACCTAAAAATAAAACGACCATACGATCCAGCAATCCCACTACTGGGCATATACCCAGAGAAAACCATAATGCAAAAAGAGTCATGTACCACAATGTTCATTGCAGCTGTATTTACAATAGCCAGGACATGGAAGCAACCTAAGTGTCCATCGACAGATGAATGGATAAAGAAGATGTGGCACATAGATACAATGGAATATTACTCAGCCATAAAAAAGAAACGAAATTGAGTTATTTTTATTGAGGTGGGTGGAAAAAGAGTCTGTCATACAGAGTGAAGTAAGTCAGGAAGAGAAAAACAAATACCGTATGCTAACACATATATATGGAATCTAAAAAAAAAAAATACAGTGGTTCTGAAGAACCTAGGGGTAGGACAGGAATAAAGATGCAGCCTTAGAGAGTAGACTTGCGCATATGGGGAGGGGAAGGGTAAGCTGGGACGAAGTGAGAGAGTGGCATGGACATATATACACTACCAAATGTAAAATAGATAGCTAGTGGGAAGAAGCCACATAGCACAGGGACATCAGCTCCATGCTTTGTGACCACCTAGAGGGGTGGGATAAGGAGGGTTGGAGTGAGATGCAAGAGGGTGTTGATATGGTGATATATGTGTATATATGTGTATAGGTGATTCACTTTGTTATAAAGCAGAAACTAACACACCATTGTAAAGTAATTATATTCCAATAAAGATGTTAAAATAAAAGAGACATATACAGGTACAGTTGGTTTTTTATTTTTATTTTTTTAGTATAACCTTTTTTATTGGGAAAAAGAAAAAGCCCAAAACAGAAAAGTTTTCAAACCACACACAGGAGGGGCATGGGTTGGGGGAAGCGTGTCTGTCCTTCCTGCCCAGGTCCCCAGCCCATGTGGTTTTGGCAGCATAAGGGGTGTGGGGTAATGGCCCTCAAAATAAAAATGGTGTACGTGTGTGTGGGATGTAGAGGTGTGCAAAAGCAGTGGGGAGTGGGGGGCGGGGAGGGACAGACGAGGTCAGTATTGGGAACGCCGCAGGTGGGAGGCCATTTCATAACATTTCTTGTTGATCATACCATCCTGTACACCTTCTTTGCCCATCAGCAGGGCTAGCGTCTTGGCATTCAGGGTAACAATGGTATCGAAGGTGGCGGCTCCGCAGGTGCTCTTGGTACGAAGATCCATGGTAAATTCCCCATCCTGCAGCAGTGAGTCCTGGATCACAGACTATTTCTGGCCCCCAAGCGTTAGCCCATTCACGTAAAAAATTGACCCGTCTTTGCCAACCAGGGCACCAACCTCAGCTGGCGTGATGTTGACGAAGTTTTTTCCAGGGACGGCTGCCCAGACGGAGGGCAAGTTCTTATAGCCCACGGTGGCCGCGTCCTGACAGGTCCCTTCCGCCATGAGCTTGTCTTTGTAGGTGTACCACCCGGCCGTGGTGCTGCTACTGGAGTGCTCTCGGGGCTGCTGCTGGGGCCAGGGGCTGGGCTCGGGCTGCCTCGGGCTGGCAGGTGGAGGAAGGCGGAGAGCTTCGGGCACACGCTGCGGTCCGGACCACAGCTCTGCTAGCTGTGCCACAGCCCTCGCACCACCACTTCCTCTGCATTACTTTTGAATTGAAGGATAGTAACATCTTCGTACCAATAAATTTAAAAACAACATTTTGCATGAATACTGTGTAAAATTATGGGTGTCGGTGCAGCATAAAAGTAATTATATTTTTCTTCTTCCTAACGTGTTCAAACTTGAAGGGCATTTAAAAAATTTCTTAAGCATCCATTAAATATAAGACAAATATCTGAAATAAAATACAATACTCTATACTTGGCTATTTACTCAAATCATTGGTGTTTAAGGAAATTTTTCAGCTTTTTATTGACAACTTGGAGTTGCATGCACTCTGGTAGGTTGGTTTTATAAGAGAATAATTTGAGTAAATGTAATTTTAATAGAGCAATAAAAATGTGGTTATATAAATTGTATATTAGTTTATTGCTTCATTATTGTTTTAAAAATTATTTAGTTGTTCGATTTTTTCAAGATATTTTGAACTCAGTCATTTAGTGTATCTTCTTCCTGATATTTTGACAAAATACCCCACAGACATGTAATATGAAGAAAAATTCAAATCTAAGATATAGAATTGAAACAAAAACAAATCATAATATTAGGAGGTATTTTAAAGTGAAGAATGTGTAAAGAAGTGAGAGAAATGTCAACTAGTGTAAACTGGCCTTGGTCTTAACACAAACTATAGAAACCTGTACAGAGTACATGGTTATTTGCTTTGATGTGGGAAAATGTAGACATTACTCTCAAAGAAAAATACAACAGAAAAAAATAAACTATCAGCTTTTAGAAACCATCAAATAATATGTGAAATAGTAATCATTAACTCACCTCTGTAGGCCAGTTGTTGTGAAAGTTAAAACTCTTGGTTTAAAGCACCTGACCATTTAGATTATCTAAATGTATAATTATCAATAGTCACAGAGGTATAAACAATGATGTATCCATAGTATAGTATACTACACACTGTTAAAATCAGTAAAATCTATATTAATGTTTGTATTTATTTGCTAGGACTGCCATAGCAAAGTACCCCAGACTGGGTGGCTTAACAGAAATTTACTTTCTCACAGTTCTGGAGGCTAAAAGTCTTAGATCAAGGTATTAGCAGATTAATTTTCTTCTGAGACCTCTCTCCTTGGCTTGTAGATGGCCATCTTCTTTCTTTATCTTTTCACGGTCTTCTGTATGTGTCTGGATCCAAATTTCCTCTTTTTATAAGGGCCCAACTCAATGACAACATTTTAACTTAATTACCCCTTTTTAAGATTCTAAATACAGTCACATTCTGAGGTACACGGGGTTAGGACTTCAACGTACAAAGTTTGGTGAAATACAACTCAGACAATGACAATATTTTATCATGGAATAATCACTATCAAATACTGTGTGTGGGAAAATCAAGTTAGTAAAACTGCACAGAATTATTCTGAATATATTAAATACACTCATTTTGAGTGATAATCAAAGGGATTTAGTGATTATTTTAACATTTTAATTTTATGACAGGTATGTATTTTACATATAATTAAAAATTATAACAGACTATAAATCATAGCTTCTGAAATTATTAAAAAGGAAAATACACTAAATAAAAAATTGATAATAGAAATAAAAGCAGAGATAAACTCCAAACTCTAGTGAAAGTACTGTTACCATCAAGTATACGTTATTCAAAGGCAAATTATTAATAATTAAACTTGGTAGTACTTTTAAATATAAACAGAAATATAGACTGGCCTGTAACTATAAATGATATGAAGGCGAATTTAGTTTATAAACAAATGGGTGCCAGGAAAGTTCACTTTTAAGAAATAATTTATTCAAATTAAATACCCTTCTCGATTTTTCTCCTGTGAAAATAGTAATAAGTTTAATATCCTTGGTGTGATAGACTGAATAAAATCCCCAAAGACATAAATGACCTAATCCTTGGAACCTGTGACTATGTTAATTTACATGGCATAAGAGTTTGCAGATGTGCATAGATTAAGGATTATGAAATAGGAAGATTATTTTGGATTTTCTGGATGGGCCCCAAATAATACAAAGGGTCTTTTAAGAAGGAGACACAGGAGCAATGTGATTAAGAAGCAAAGAGAAAACGGTGATGTGATGACAGAGCAGCGAGAGATTTGAAGATGCTACATTGCTGCTGGCTTTCAATATGTGGGAAGGAGTCACAAGTCATGAAATAAGGGCAGCCTCTGGAAGCTGGGAAAAGTAAAGAAACAGGCTTTCCCCTGCACCCTTCAGAATGAACTAGCTCTTCTAACAGCTTAGTTTTGGACAGTGAGACTGATTTTGTACTTCTGATTTCCAGCACTATACTTTAATAAATGTGTGCTGTATTAAGACGCTAGGTTTGTGGTAATTTGTTACAGCTGCAATAGTAAATTAATGCACCTGGGAATTGGAACATACTCTTTTCTCAAGGCCACATGGAAATGTGGGAGTCCTGCCCCCGGGCTTAGAGACAACAGGGAGTCTCATTTCTAGTCTATCATGAAATCTTCTGAGTCCCTTTCCCAAATCTGAAAACCAGTGGTTCTTTACCCTGTCATTCCTTGATTGAACAAAAAAATCTTCAAAATGGTTGTATTTCAATACCTAGGATCTAACTATCCTAGATAAACTGTGGGCTATTCTTTCAGAGGTTATGCTGCTGACCTTGAGTGTGGGTACAAAACCTGGCTCTATTCTCGGCCCTGGATCCTGACAAATACTCAGTCTCTGGGTATTTTTTGCATTACCTTTTTTTCCCCTCATCATCAGTACATTTCTCCAGTCTTTCTCCTCTAGGATACATAGTCTACTCCCTTGAATTAGTGAATAGGAACCATCCCAGTGCAATCTCTTATTGGCTTGGGCAAGAACATTGAAGCAAAAAATAATAATTTGGGCTAGCCTAATAGGAACAACTAAGACATATTCTTAATCCCAGAGATATTGAATTTGTTACCATCCTTATAGCACTAGGGAAGTTTTCTTCCTTCCTCTTTTGCCAAGGAACATGCCGTAATTATACAACATGGTTGAAGTTTATGTGCATCAGTAATTATGAGTCTGAGAATTGATGTAAACATTCTCTTACCTCCTTTATTATCAAGCAAAGGGGGATGGCTTTGCCTGAATAGGCTTTGTCTATTTTCTTCCTAATTGACTTAAGTAAAATGTATATTAACCTGTTTCCAGACTTTAGTTTTACTTAGAACATTCCATGGAAACAAATCTATAGGAAGAATATGGAGCTAGATATCACCTCATCCTGAATTCTTCATTCTTCATATTTGTATGTTAGAGTCATGGCCTGGACAATGCCTGAGACCCAAAGCTTCGGAGTGCTTTAAATAAAATAAATTGTCTTAAATTTCAAACTGCTAAAGCTCCCTGCTCTTGTGATCTCATATACTTATTGCCCCAGGACTCATAACATAATACATATGTAGAGTGGATTGGGGGGGACAGCGAGTCAGTGAAGGTTAATCTTATTGGTATCCAGGATTTATAGGTTTGGGATTCTTCAATTTTAAATTATGTAACCAAGCACGGTATAGGCATGACATTCCAATGATATTTAAGAAATGAATTTATTGTATTATAGTTGTTGCTTATTTGGTAAAACATTTCAGCAACTTCTTTAAATAATAATTTGAAAATTTCTATCTAATAAATCAATCTAAAATACATCACCATTTTGTGAAATTTTATATATTTTTCATCAAAGTGGCATTTTTAATGAGATGAATGATGGACTGAACAACTAATTATATTGTTAATCTTTGACCCTGGCATCCCATTCTATTTATTTCAATTACAATACTTCGTGGGTATTATGAATTCTTTATATGATATATTAGCTTATGCATTTTTTTTTTTTTTTGCGGTACGCGGGCCTCTCACTGTTGTGGCCTCTCCCGTTGCAAAGCACAGGCTCCGGACGCGCAGGCTCAGCGGCCATGGCTCACGGGCCCAGCCGCTCCACGGCATGTGGGACCTTCCCGGACTGGGGCATGAACCCGTGTCCCCTGCACCGGCAGGCGGACTCTCAACCACTGCGCCACCAGGGAAGCCCAGCTTATGCATTTTTAACAAGACAAATTGTGCTATAAAGAGGACACTATTATAATGAAACTTCCTTAAGCTAAGAGCAGAAATTCTGACACAAACATATATTTTTCAAAGAATATTAAGAAATATTTTATTTTTATTGGTCATTCTTAACACAATATATTTACTAGCTTTTAAGAGAGTAAAAAATAATTTAAGGATTGCCCAATGTAATTAAATAAAACAGTTCAATATTTATGGAATACATTTATCTTTCACAGTGACATGTTATTTAGCAACAACTGAGAAAAAAATGAAACATAAGCTATTTATTAAAATTATAAGCATTTAAATGAGACAGTACAAAAAGTAAAGTGATTGCATTTGCCCATATGAGTGTCTTTTCTGGCTTGTAGAAATTTCCTTTTCACTCAATGATTTCATCTTTTTGTGCATGGAAAATATGAATACAAAATGAATCAATTCTGATGAAATGAAAATATTTCCAGTAAAATAGCTTGATTATTCCAAATATGATATATATGTGTGTGTAGTTAATGAAGTCATTCATTTCTGCCATCACTGCTATTACTTAACACTGTCTTATTAAGATAAATGGATTAAGAGAATAAAAATAAGTATGAGGTCATACCAGTAGAGAGAAGAATATATAAGCATTAGTTTTTATATAGGCAGTTATTACTTATACAAGAACAAAAAAAGGACAGAAGAAATTATCACAAATTATTTTAATTTGTATTAAAATTACAAAGCAAGGAATCTACTACATATCTATCAAACAACAAAGCAAGCTTGCAATTGTGGTAAATGGAGAAAATGACCACAATTCTTCACATCTCTGTCTGTATGCCCTTTACAATGTGACTTTGCAGCTCCTCCTATGAATAGGTTGGGCATATTTTTTTGCCTCTTGAGTGATGACTCTGTCAGATAACCAGATTTGACTAATGACTCAAGAGCAAATATGATACATGCAGAGACTTGAAAAGCATTTGCACATTCGAGTAGTTCTCTCTTCCTGTTCTTGGGCTAGCCTGCTGGATGACACATATCGCCCCAACACATATCAAGCCAACAAACGGAAATATAAGTAAGGTCATCCTAAAAAAATTCAGCCCCATCAGCTGAGCTTGGAGACCAGACAAGTTGGACTATACCAGCATTTTTTGTTGTCAGTATTCTGGATTTTGGCCATTCTAAGTAGGCTAGTTGTGATATCTCATTATTTTAATTTGCATTTCGTTAATGACATGTGATGTGGAACATCTTTTCGTATGCTTTTTTGTTACCTGTATATCTTTTTTGATGAAATGTCTGGTCTGTTCATTTCTTTTGACCATCCCACAAATTTGATAAGTTTTCATTTTCATTTAGTTCAAAATATATTTAGTCTCCCTTGAAAATTTTTATTTGACTCGTGTTATTTAGAAGTGTCTTGTTTAATATCCAAGTATTTAGGGATTTTCCAGTTTTCTTTCTGTTAACGATTTTTAGCTTAATTTCATTGTGATCAGAAAGCTTACATTGTCTAATTTCCATATTTTAAAATTCATTAAGGTGTATTTTGTGGACCATAATGTGATCTACCTTGGTGTTTATTCTACGTGAGCCTGAGAAAATGTGCATTCTGCTGTTGTTGGAAAACATAGTCCTAGATGACGATTATACCCAGTTGCTTGATGATACTCATGAGTTCCTCTGTATCCTTACTGATTTTCTGCCTTCTGGATCTGTCCATTTCTGATAAAGTGGTGTTGAGTCTTTAACTATAAGAATGGATTAATTTATTTCTTCTTGTAATTCTATCAACTTTTACTTACTATATTTTGATGCTCTATTGTTAGGTACATACAGATTAAGGATTCTTGTGGCTTCTTGGAGAATCGACCCCCTTTATCATTATATAATACCCCTCTTTGTCACTGGTAAATTTCCTTGCTCTTATGTCTTCTCTGTCTCTAATATACCTACTTCCAGCTTACTTTTGATTAGTGTTAGCATGGTATATCTTTCTCCATCCCTGTATTTTTAAAATATTTGTCTTTAAATTTAAGGCTAATTTTCATAGACATCATATAATGGGATATTGTTTTTTTATTCACTCTGAGAATATTTGCCTTTCAGTTGCTATATTTAGACCATTGACATATAAAATGATTATTGATATGGTTGGATTAATATCTACTATATTTGTTATTTTCTATTTTTTCCCTTGTTCTTTGCTTCTATTTTTATCTTCCACTGCGTTTTTTCTATTTATACTTTTAATTGAGGTTTTTATGTGTTTTGATTTTCTCTTGTTTTTTAGCATATCAGTTACACTTTTTTAAACTTTATTTGTTGCCAGAGATTTTGTGAAATATGTTTAAATTAATTCAAGACCTCTTTCAAATAACAATATACCATTTTATGCATAGTGTGAGTACCGTATAATAACAAAATATTTCTAATCCCTTCCTCCTATCTCTTGTATCGTGGGGTATTATATATACCCATAAAGATATATAATTATATAGATTGTTACTATTATTATTTTGAACTGTTATCTGATCAATTACAATTGATCAATTAAAAATAGGAAAACTGAAAGTTTTTATTTATCCTCACTTTTCCTTCTCCAATGCTTTTCCTTTTTTGAAAGTAGATCCAAATTTTTGATCTATATCAATGCCTTCTCTCCAAAGCACTTCTTTTAACATTTCTTCCAAGGCAGGTCTACTGGCAACAAATCTGTGCAATTATTTTTTTTTGTCTGAGAAAGTCTTATTTGTCCTGTACTTTTGAAGGATAATTTCTCAAGATACAGAATACCATACAATGGTTTTATTATTCTCTCAATAATTTAAATATTTTATTCCACTCTCTTATTGCTTGAATGGTTTCTGATGAGAAGTCCAATGTAATTCTTATCTTTGCTCCTCCATAGATAAGGTGTTTATTTCTTCTGTCTTCTTACAAGATTTTTTCTTTATCTTTGATTTTCTGCAGTTTAATTATGATATGTCTAGGAGTAAATATTTTTGCCATTTTCCTTCCTGGTGTTCTTTGAGATTCCTGGATCTATGGTTTGGTGCTTGACATTAATTTGGGAAATTTTCAGTCATTTTTTTCAAATAAATCTTTTCTTAGAATGTCCTTCTCTATGCTTACATTGCCCATATACTCTTGCATGCTGCCTACTTTATCCATTAGACCCCTTAGCATAATAATTATAGTTGTTTTAAATTCACTCTGATAATTCCAACAACCTTTCCATATCTGAGTCTGGTTCTGGTGCTTTTTCTGTATCTTCAAAATGCTCTTTTGCCTTTTAGTGTGAGTATTTGAATCGGTAGACTGAGTAAAGAAGCTCATCCTCATCAATGCATGGACATCATCCAAACTACTAAAGGCCTGAATAGAACAAAAAGGGGAAAGAGGGGTGAATCTGTCCTTCTACTTGAGCTAAGACATCCATTTTCTCCTGCAGTTAGATATTGGCACACCTGGTTCTTGGGCTTTGGACACAGACTGGGATATACACCATCCACCCTCATTTTCAAATTGATATAGACATGTTTAGGCAAGACAGTCATGCTTACCTTGCCAAACTTCTTTCATAAATTCATCTAACTCTAACAGAGAAGTTTCACAAAGAAATTGCTCTTTGTATTATTTTATTAATGATAGTTTCTGATAAAATATAAATGAGTAATTTTGATTTGCTTAGATGGCTCCTAGTTGGGACACATAAAATAT